CGCTCTTCCATCTGCCATGTGTGAAGGCTGCCAGACATCTTTGGGTGATGTATGGAGGGGGAGAAAAATCCCATCTCAGGCCTGAATGCTCCTAACCGGTGTTCCCTCTAATCTGAGTTAGGGTGAGCTAGCTCACAGCTCAGGAAGGATGGCTCCAGAGCAAACTATTTTATGCAGTAGCCAAATTGCTCGCACACAAATTTCATGCCAGTAGCTCACAATGTAGCGTTTTTGCTCACAAGACTCCACAGCTGAGAGGGAGCATTACTCCTGACCGCCTTTATGTGACCGTGAGGCCTTACTTAGGTGTACCTACCAGGCTGAGACGCTGAACAGAAGCATTCTGTCATTGAAACTGAAATTTCCAATTGAGTGTTCGGACTCCCTGAGGCAGGAGCGAATCTTCTCCAGTTCCTGAACTGGGCAGAACAAAATGATCTTTCGCAACCTGTTTTCCTAAAACTACCAGTTTGGTGTAGTGGTTAAGTGCACGGACTCTAATCTGGGAGAACCGGGTTTGAGTCCCCACTCCTCCACTTGCACCTGCTGATGTGACCTTGGGTCAGTCACAAGCTCTGGCACAGCTGTCCTTGAAAAAGAGCAGTTTGTGTCAGAGTTCTCTCAGCCCCACCCACCTCACAGGGTGTCTGTTGTGGGGAGGGGAAGGGAAAGGAGTTTGTAAGCCGCTCTGAGACTCCAAGTGAAGGGCGGGGTATAAATCCAATCTCTTCTTCTTCTTCTACCTTGGTATAGGACTGGTAATTGAGGAAGAAAATGGCAGCTCCTTATGTGTCAGCTGGAACCTTATTTTTATTGTGGACGTAGACTCCACTGGTGACATTATTTTACCTGAGGGGTAGCTGTGTGACCCAGTTCTGAGGCCTGTTGCTCTGCTTCCATTGTTGAATATCACTGTGGACCTATAATATAGCTTGAGATCCTGGTGAGACCAGAAGTTTCCTCTGTCCTGTAAAGAGAGAGTTATATCTGAGACCTTTTGGCTTTGCAAGTGCTGAGGAACAATCTAGCCCTACAGGGCTTAATCAACCTCATGGTTCCTTGTGTAACAGTTTCTTTACTGGCTCTTGGACTCATTCTTCTTAGGGTGGAGATATCCAGTAAGCTAGTTGCTTCAGCCTTAGGCAGTTCCTCTGTCAATTGTAGCTTGGAGACTGCCAGTAACTTCAGTCAAGATATCCTGCAGAAGGCTGTGGTGCTAGCTGAAACATGGGCCAGTGTTTTCTCTCTATACCTCTGTGTAGTTGAGGATATGAAATCAGCCTCTCAGAGGCTGCAGAAAAGTGAGATAAATGTTTTCTGTTTTCTGCCTCTGATCTGGGTGGTACTTAAGAGACCTGCGGACGAAGCAGTAGTTTGCTTCTCAGTATAGAATGAGGTACAATGCTGGTGAGCAAGGAGGGAGCAGTTAACTAAATTGTCTCAGCTTCTTTTTTGTTCCTTGTGTACATCCATGGCTTACTCATTGGATTGGCAATTCATAATGTTGTGGGAAGTACCGTAAAGTTGCAGCTGATTTATGGTGACCCTGTAGAATTTTCAACGCAAGAGATTGAATCAGTGGTTTGCTATTGCCTGCCTCTGCATAGAAACCTAGGAATTTCTTGGTGGTCTCCCATCCAAGTGCTAACCAGGGTCTGACCAGATTGGGCTAGCCTGGGCCATCCAGGTCATAGGGGGCAATTTACGATACAAATCTTCTCTCTCAAAATATGGAGGACACATCTGTCTTGATAAGAAGTAAGAATGTTCTCTTAAAGTATAGAAGTAGAAACTTCGGTATGAATAGTGAAGAGATGTGCTCTTTGTCAAGAAGACAAGGGAGCTTCCAGAACTTAAAAAATGGTTAGTAAAGGAGTTCTAACGTAATCAGACTGGAACCCCAGATATGGCACCACCACCTCTGGGGAGTAGACCAGCAAACTGTTATGCTTTTCTGATTCTTGTAAGGAGCACCAACAGATCATGTGCAAAAGTGCTTCTGTTGCCATGTGTGAAAAGAAGCAGCTGGGTGGTATGGCTAACTGCAAGTAGTATAGAGTGTGGGAGTGGTTTATTATACACTCTTATCTCTGCTGGTTTTTTGCTATGTACAAGTGACCAAAACGACACCAGTGAGATGAGGCTTTCTTTTTATCTCATACAGCATGAGCCATGTGAGGCACAAGGCGGCCCTGTGACCTTTGTTAAATTCAGACCTGCATTCGGAGCTAGGTCAGCCATCATCTTGCTTGAGTGGCCAAGTGCATTCTGAGTATATCTGCGTTACGTCCATTTTAATGATCACTTTGCAGAGTTCTTATGAGAGACCATAAGACATTCTGCACAGTTGATTAGATGGATAAACGACTGCACAGTACTCTGTGTAGTTCAATACACTGAAGCTTGATCCTGCAATGCAATATCAATTGCAAAATTCTGTTGAGTTTCAGGCAGGAGTTAGATGCTCTGAGCTGTGTTAGAAGTGAATCTGACCAAACCTCCCAAGCATCTTCCACTTCTGTAAGTGGGATTTCTTTAGAAGCTAATATGAATTCTCCTCTAGTGGTCCTGGGTTGTATGGAATTCATATTTAGGGCAGCTTATTTTGTTGACTTCACTCATCCTATTTCACCTCCTGAGTGAGAAAACTGTTGTCATTGCTGGAATAAGATTCCCAAAGTATTCTGCATAGTTGCACTTTGTTTTTATAAGCAAAACTAGTTAAACTCAGCCCTCCTCTGAGACTCCTTCACTGGTGTATTGGTCAGTGAGAAAAGAATCTGATACACCTCTGAAAAGGGAGCAGTGCAGTTCAGAGCTTGTGTAATATTTATGTTGTTAGTGCCTGTACTGGTTTAAAAATTCACCCCTGATTACAATAACTGGTATGGCACATTTGACAGTATAGTGAAAGGGAAGAAATACAAACAACAGGTAATGAAGAGAAAAAAATAGATATATATGATGAACAAAGGGGTCTGACAGCCAACGTTTACATGTCTTGTAGAAAGATTGTATGCTGGTCCACAAATAATTGAAAATCTGGTTTCAAAGTGTTATGTATTTTTATTTTATTTATATATATCTCATCCTCCCATGGGATACAGGTCTCAGGGTGGTTACAACATTGAATAAAACGGTCAATTTATAAAACTTAATTCAATAATAAAATTCCTCAACGATAACCAACAAATCACAGCATTCCAAGATAAAAATTCAAATTTCAGCCAGCAGCGTCCGAGTAACCAGGCAAAGAGAGTGGGCCGTATCCCATCTTATATCAGTTCAAGGCTCCTCCCCTTCAGTTAGGCTTAATCCTGGGTTATTCATCAATTGTATCTCTTATTGATGGGGCTGCTTATATTTAGCTACATCAAGGGATGATGGGAAGATTGTGAACTTAACAGGGGGTCTTGGGAATGGAAATGGAAGCCCACTTCTCTGCCTTCTTGTTCAGTTTTCTGCATAGGCTTGAGCTGAGGGAAAAGCTTTTCTGTGTACTTGGTGCTGAAGCCAGCTGTGCACGGTGTTGATTGGCTGGGAGCTTCTGATGTCACCTGTCCCCTAGGAGCAGTTTAACAATTTAAGGATTGGTTGCAAAAAATTAATAGGGGTGAGCTGATCTCCTGTATGCCTTAAAAACTCAAGGTCTCCCATTCCTTAGGTCCTATGGTACTGCAAGTGACTGATGTGGTGGAAAGTGTTGTCAAGTCACAGCCAATTCATGTTGACCCCATAGGATTTTTAAGGCCAGAGACATTCAGTGGTGGCTTTCCATTGCCTGCCTCTGCATAGTGACCCTGGACTTCCTTGGTGGTCTTCCATCCCAGTAATAACCAGGGCAGAACCTGCTTAGCTTTTGAGATCTTGCGAGAGCAGGCTGACCTGTGCCATCCAGATCAGGGCAATGACTGATACGTTGACAGTTCTCTTTTCCCCTCTTCATTTCCCCTACCCTATCCCCCCCATCCACTTCTCTGAAGTAGACATTTAATGAGGTAATGCAGCAGATCTTTTAATGCAGTACAGATACTTAAGAGCATAAGTTGGATCAGACCAGTGGACCATCTAGTCCTGCATCCTCTCTCACATCCTGGCCAACCAGTTCCTTTGGAGGACCAACAAGAGGGCATAGAGGCTGAGACCTTTCCCTGATGTTGCCTTCTGGCACTGGGATTCAGAGGTTGACTGCCTCTGAACATGGAGGTTCCCCTCAGTCAGCATGGCTAGTAGTAGCCACTGATAGGCTTATCCTCTGTAAGAACGT